GTGACAAATGCCTGAACCCGTTTTTCTGCATAATTTTTAGATGTTTCTAATGTTAGCAATTTTTTTTGCAGGTGGAAGAAGGCAGTTCTAGTAATGTTTTTAATGTGGGCGTTAAAAGGCATGTCCTGATCAAAAATAACACCAAGATATTTAATATTAGAGCTGGAGGCCAGATTAATGCCATCCAAGTATGGCGAAAGAATGAAAAATGTATTCCTAAAATGCTCAATTAGGAAAGACCCGGTTAGATTTAAAAAATATATACTTTTTGTCACCTTTTTATAATTTTTGCATGGCTTAGCCCCTCCTGCCTTTATTCATTCAACCTTTATTTAGACAGGTTAATCCCATTGAGCCTCTGGGACTCGTTTACAAGAGAGACCTGAATTTTAACAAAGAGCGATGACAACAGTGGATAACAACGACAACAATAGACAGTCACAAAAGAGGCATACAATTTTTTTTTGGGAGCGCACGCTGTAGCTGCACTCATGCAGGGGTATGTAGGAGGAGATGTATGAAGGCAGAATACCAACCAGTGAGAGAGTCTGCGTGAAGTTAATGATGTCCAGTTAACCAGTGAATACAGGGTGCAATGATGGGTACGGTAGTTACAGCCAGTTATGAATCTTAATGCACTGTGATAGGCAGCATCCAGCATCTGCAGAGTGTTTGTAAGAGCGTTCATATAGATAATGTCACCGTATTCAATGGAGGGAATGAAAGTCACAGTTACAAGGTGTTTCCTAGCATTCAGAATTAGACAGGATCTATTTCTGAAAAAAAAAAAACAGTTTAACTTTCAGTTTCCTTACTAGGTTTTCCACGTGAAGCATAAAAGAGAGCTATATTATATGAACCGGCCCTGCCTACCTAACCATAGTTTAGGTCTGTGATGAACTATTGCTCTTTAAAAGTTTTTTTTTTTTTAACAAAAACTGTTGTATTTGTCGAGTGAAAGTGCACTCTTTCAGTGGTAGTGAGGATACATTCACTTTTTCCATCAGCTGGGTGTGTTGTGATTGGCGAAAGAAGGGGAGGGGGTTACATGCATGTTAGCATAGATATAAACACTAGATACAGCATTGACCGCTATCGCCTATTGGCGCTGACGAGCTGTAGAGCTGCCATCTTGGAACGGTCGACCGCTCCACTCAGAGTAATCTGTTTGTCAGGAGCAATGAAGTATTTGCACATTTAATCAGTCATAGATGAATACTAAAGTCATTCTCATGATTTTTTTTTCCTCTGTAAATCTTAGCCGTACAGCCATTAAAGCTGAACACATGGTTCAGTGTATTTAAATATTCTTGGTGGGGTTAACATTAACACTAATAAAATATTATTATGACAAGTTTTGCAAAACTCACAGTCACTGATACCATCCATCCATTATCTTTACCCGCTTATTCCATTTTTGGGTCACGGGGGGTCACCCGTGCCCATGTCCAGCAATCACTGTGCGAAGGGCGGGGTACACCCTGGACGGGTCGCAAGTCCATTGCAGGGCCACATAGAGACAAACGAGACAAACAACCATTCACACTCTCACTCACACCTAGGGACAATTTAGAGTTACCAATCAGCCTAACATGCATGTTTTTGGTCTGTGGGAGGAAACCGGAGTACCCGGAGAAAACCCACGCATGCACGGAGAGAACATGCAAACTCCACCCAGAAAGGCCCCTGGACCGGGGTTTGAACCAAGGACTGCTCACTGAGAGGCAGCAGCTCTACCAGTTGCGCCACCGTGCTGCCTCAGTCACTGATACACTTTTATTAATATCTATATTATGTATATATAAAATATAAATAAATAAATATATATATATACATACACACACATTATCTAGATCACTAACAGTTTATTAATTTTCTTATACAGGTATATATATACACACACACATTATAATATCAGAATCTTACATATACAATATTTTACATATAATACAGTTTAATAATTTTCTTATATATACACACATATAATATCAGAATCTTATATATACATTATATCTATTTTATATATACAAATCTTATGTATGTATACATATATATATATATATATATATATATATATATATATATATATATATACTGTACGTATATATAACACACACAATTATATCTATTTTATATATAACCACATATTGCCACCATATATACACACACGCATTATAATTTCATTATCTTATACAGTGAACCCTCATTTTTCACAGGGGTTACGTTCCAAAAAGAACTCGTGATAGGCGAAATCCGTGAAGTAGTAACCTTTATTTTTTTTTTACAATAATTATACAATGAAATACTCCATAATACATTCAAACCAAAGAACAAAACCTTTTTACAGGCCCAAGCATTTGTTTAACAAATAAAAGTACTGTATAAATGTTTTTTTACAAAGAACTACTGTACTGGAGAGACTGTTTAGCCAATCAGAATGCAGAACACAATGCACGATGCAAATCCGTGAAGCAGCGAGACCGTGAAAGGTGAACCACGT